TTTAAAAAAACAAAACAAAACAACCTAGCACATTTTATAGAATGTAGATTCTACTCATGCCATCACATTCCCATATAAGATAAGATAATCCTTTATTACCAAGAACATGATCTTAGGATCTTCATCTGTAGCTTTGGAACTGACTACATAGGCTCTCTGCAGATATGTATTGTTCTTAGTTGCTGCCTGTCTAAAACCTCACAGGTTAAAGTGGATTTATTCTCTTTTAACTATGGTACAGGGAAACTATGTATGGAATTATAATGAAATTACATCACAGTGTACATCTGTATGGAGCTAATTGGTATTCAGCAACATGTAGCAGTTGTCTGAGAGCAAGCCAACCTAACCCAAACGTAAGTGTTATCGATTCCTTTGTGTTTTAGCTATTCCTGTTGCATTATAAAAACAAAAAGCGACGACTCAGTCTGGTCGGAGTTAGCACGTTTGCATAAAACGCCACAAATTGAGCAGATTTTTATTTAAGCATTGATTGGCTGGGCTATGGGCATTAATGGATAGGCTCTAATAGTAGTGCCTTACAAAGATAAAGAGCCACACAGACAGTTAGGATAATTTACACGCCACTTACAGCACTAGTATACAAATAAATCTGAGGAAACTCCACCACTGTTGCTTTTGCGAAGATGACAAACACAAGCACAAATGCCATTATCATTGATCGTGGGGCTTTTATTACAAACTTCCTGAAGGAAACAGTTTTTTTTCTCTTTCCCAAGCTTAAGGGAATAAATTAACATGCAAAATAGATGGGATTTGTTTTGTCCTGAAAGTCAATCTCGCAGCATCAAGACAGGACATTTTTCTCTCCAAACGACTGCATCCTGCCTGCAGTGAACAATGATCCGCAGGATGACGGAGTGAGTCTTAAAGAGGGGCTGGAGTCAAACAGAGGCCTCTCAATGACACCCTCAAGGTTATGAGCTCAATGCTGTTTTAATGCGAAACTGGGCCTTTTACACTCAATTATCATCCTGCTAAAGATACCAGATATAAAGAGGAGGGTTCATGACCCTCAAGAAAACATGACAAATCCTGTAGTGATGATCATATGTTTGCTGTAATAAAGACCTCTGATTCGATTGTTGGTTGCAAGGCAAATATATGATGCAGATATTTGTGCAAACTGTGCTTTTTACTGTGTGTTGGCTTATCGGAAGTCCAAAAGGTCGTCTCTTTAACGTCAGCGGATACCAGAAACACTTGTTCATCACCGTCAGCCACACATAAAGCATTAGAGCTGAGCAATGGAGTAACACACACCCACACAGTCTTGGACGCCAGTGAATGAGTCTCTCGGATATTAGTAGGAAGTGTTTCGGAGGCAGAGGGATTTCTGCTTACTGTTGGGTTCCCAGCAACACTCAGGTTCTCAGGGTGTGTGTGTGTGGATGCTGCAGCGTAAGAGAGGAGATGGAGGAGGAGAGGGGAGTGGGGGTAAAGCGTTGCATTAAGAGCTGGCCAAAGCAATGACACGGTATTGCTTTTATAGAAGAGGGAACGGAGAGGTAGAAGAAGAGAAAGTGCAGGCAATTGGTGACGGAGAGAAGAAATGATGTAAATGAAAAGGAGGGATGATGGAGAGATCTCTACAAATACCTCACAGGTGCTGTGCAACAAACAATAGACCGAATCCACTCTAGCGGCTCAATGAATACATTTACATGCACATTAGTATCCCTGTCCCTGGGTTGTATTATAAAATATGCTGATTATACAGAAGAGAGAAACCTGGTTAATGATATTACAGTATACATGATTGTATAAAGCAACCAGGTTAACGATCATCTGTCTGCAGATGTAACTTGGTTTCTCTACATCTCATTTTTGTAACTTCAACATCTAAAACTCAGTTAGGGACCGTCTGCCAGCCTGGACTCTTTTGGATTCACCCTCCCCAGATGATCACAGGAAATAAAAAACAAGAGCAACAATAAAATCTATAATCTCAATCGTATCACTAAAGTCTCTACCTGTACTTCAGCTTGTTATTCATCACATTTCTTCTTTTATTCACTACCTTGCAATTGCAGTTAAAGATGCACCTGCACACATGGTAGACAAAGATCAGAAACCTGATCCTGGTGTTTACCTGCCATCGTGTTCCACTGCAGCATATCTATGTTTCTCAAATCTGGGATAAGGGCTTACTGAGGGTTCAGAAACCAGAACATGTTACAGTCCAGGGTACACTGGGACCAAAATTGTGAAGGAGAAAAGAGCCACATTGAATTTCCCTCCAAAATATATTACATCAAAAGTATAATGTTGCAGAAAGGGGAAGCATTCAAGCAAAGTACTGGTACCTGAAAAAATTCTACTTAACTGAACTGCTTGAGCAAATGTAGTTTATTACTTTTCACCTCTGAAAAATGCATAAATATTCAGTACCACTGAATAATATTGGAGCTGGAGGATGGTTGTGTGTGTGTGTGTGTGTGTGTGTGTGTGTCTGCGGTTTGGAGATGGAGGGAGCTGCAGTGTCAAAAGTGAAAAGCTCAGAGGAAAATTGAAGCCCCATAATGGAAGCATAATGGGCTTAGTGTCAGAGTCTTGCAGACGAGCCGGGAGGGAAGCACGACTGCCGTCACCCCCTCTTACCTCAAGCCAGTATAACGGGGTTTAGGAAGCAACGAGGAGACAACAACGGGCCCCAAACAGGCTTTACAGATACACCAACAGCCTAATGGCCGGATGTGGATGGAATTCATAACAATGAGATGATCACTGGTTGTCTCCTTGTGGGATTGTAGTGCATCACGTCTCAGACTCAGGTTGAATACTCAAAAGGTTTCTCCTCAACTCAGTTAGGGATCCCCGCAAAAAAAAGCACTGACGAAGGCACTATGGTACAAGTTTACAAAAGTGAATTATAATAATTTAAGTAAAAAATATACCTGTCTGCCCTATTCTCTCATGATATATATAAAGGGGCAATGCAGATACAGATGCAGACATCATGTGGAGGGATTTTAATTCACCTCATGTTTTGCACAGCTCACTTGCATCTCAATTCACTGCAAGTACTGTACAACAGCTGTCAAGACAAGAATTGAATTTGAAGTGGTGGCCCTGGTGATGACTACCAATGTTGTTGCAGACCATCTACCGCTGTCACGGATCTGAGAGTGACTGACAGGCTACAAGCAGACATGTTGAGATGGTTATCTAACGCCTTGTGTCAAAGCAGATTTCCAGGGTTTTAAGTAAAACGGTGGATGGAGGGGGAAGGGGGGGAGGCGCAGAGCAAGGCAGTGTGTCAGAAAGTACAAGGGATTAAGCTTTGTCCCCACTGTTGTGTACAAAATGTGCATTTGCATCTTGGTGAAGCTGTAGTTAAGAACCGAGATCCAGATTTAGTGTATTCTCATCTGGTGGAGTGTGTGTGAGCTGAGGCAGAGAAAATGTGCTGATCTGAGGGGCCTGAGGATAAGCAAAGCAGATTTGGCCTCAGACCACAGCTTGTTCCTTTTTTCTTTTTTTTTGGAGAACATCCAGCTCTCTTCTGTATGACATAACAGTACAGAGGCAGGTTTTAGAGAGCAGTGCTGTATCTATGCATTTGTATAAAAACATATATGCAAGTACTATATATACACTTTATTTATTGATTTATTTCATTGTACTTTGTAGGTGCATCATATCATTCTAACTTGAAGCATAATTAATTGGTGGTAGGATTTCATCATTTTGACATTGTCTCGGTGGACCCATCATTTGTGTGTGTTAGTATGATTTCATTCTGACGTAAAAGAAATACCTTTATGTTGGTATTTTGTGCCATTTTGAATATGTTTTCCTGATGAGCAGCTTTGGCAGGTATCCCCTCAATTTTAAATTGACTTTAATTAAATATTGTGTGTTCTTGTTGGGAGGTGTTCAGAAGACTCAAATTACTTTTTTGTAGTACAGTAACATAAATGTGCATTTTGTTCAACTTCAATATTAATCTTAATCTAAACATTATTTACTGTAAGAAAATGTTTTTAAAACGTAATATTTATATAGCCTGGTAAAACTTAACTCAGTATTTTATATATCCTGTGTAAGTAATTTTAGGCTCAGGTTTACTGTGGTGGTCTCTGTGGTGAGATGTGAGTTTGGGATGAATTAAAAGTATGGAGCAGTAAATACACGCGGACATTATGACTGTATGTTAAGATGGACAGCAAGTCTCCACTTGGTTGTCCATCTTTATATACAGTCTATGGGTAAAACAGTAAGTTTATAAGTATAATATAACATCTGATGGCTACTCACATATCTAAGCAGAGAACAAAAGTCAGCGGAAACTGATTTGTTTAAGACTTTAATGATAATATATGTCAAATGATTAAAGCATTCCTTGGAACATAACACAACTGAATCATGACTGGACCTGTTGAGAGCTGACCCAGGCTAAAAGGTCTGGTTGGTTATCTGACCTGCGCAATAGGAGTGGGTGATATGTAGAAATTCTTTTTCACGTTATACACAATTTTTGATATGGTTTTCCAGGAATTGTATTTGTGGATGGGAATGTCTGTTTTTGGTTCCCCCAATGCCTTATAATTGTAATATTGCCTATAAGCAGTCCTGCTCTATGATCTGGAATATTGCTTGCAATGGTCTGGTCAAGACATAATTCAAAGTATAGCTAACCCAGTTAGCAAAGTCTTGACCAGCTGACAGAAAGTCATCATCATATCAACCAAACCTACTGGGCAGATAAGGTCAATATATAGTATTTCAGTGGATGAAAACATATGCAGTGTGTTTCATTTTAAATTAGAGGGCTAATGTTTACACCCTTAGCTTCGAGAAGCTAAGTCGATGAAATGAACTCACCAAAAGTATTTGGAAATAAAGTCAAACAAAACCTCTGCAATCCTGGTCTACAACTGCTGGGGTTGAACAGAGTCTCTTCAGGAATGAAGAAGGGATGCAGGGGGAGGCCGGGGATGAGACTAGGACCTGGGAGGTGGGTAGGTAGAGGTGATCTAGCCTTTCGGAGCAGTGTACTGACGAAGGAGGGAGGAGATGGCGCCCGATTCAGTGACCTCCTCAGGGAGAGAGCCCTCCATGTCTTTGATGAACGGGTCAGCTCCAGCGTTCAGCAGAAGCTCCACGATTTCTGCAAACTCGCACGCAGATGCTATAAAGAGAGAGAATTAAAGGTGGAGTTAGGAGAGAAATAATATGAAAGGAATTACAGGAAAAACATTTAGCTTCTTTAGTTTGTACTCGATAGCATTCGGTTGGTCCTGTATGTTGGTCCTCACGGAAGTATGTCACGGATTACCATGACATTTTCTGCAGACGTTCATGGTCCCCTGGGGAGGGATCTTAATAATGATGGTGCTCCCTTGACTTTTTACATAAAGTCAAAATGTTTATTTGTTCAGAAGTTTCATTTATGAAACAGTTCCTGTAAAACTAACAACTTTTAATCAGCCTCAACCATAACTGTACTTTGTATTATTTTTATCTAATGAATTAAGTTAATTAGCAATTGTGATCATGCTAACACAGTATCGGAAGATGGTAAACAGGGTACTACATGTTAGCATTTTAACTGTCAGCATGTTAGAATAGTGATGTTAGCATTTAGCTTAAGTACAGCTTTATCTACCAGCTCAAAGAGATGCTTGTGTGGCTGTAGTCCCCTTTAAACCAATGGACCGAATGGAGGTGCAATCACCAGAAGAGTATATATGTTTTATATATATATTTTATTCTTTACTGGATACATTACTGTGAATAAGACATTGAATATAATGATGCAGCTCGCTCTTAGCAAATTGTTCTGATGTTGTGTTTCTTAAAATTAGCCTCCTTTCTTTCCTCTACTTACTAGTTTCATACAGTGTGTATGGTGCTGAAGTTAATGAAAAGCCCATTTGCGGTTCCAGTACTGCTACTGGCCTGAACCTGTGGTTCCCTCAAACACTTCAATTCTGCCCCATTGGCAATTTGTGCCCTACTAAAAGGGTCTTGTGTGTCCCTGTATGGGGGGGCATGCACTTTCTTAACCCAGTTAGCAGGTCCCTGCGTTCCCAATGCACCTCTCGTCCCTCTTGCTCCTCTCACCTCGCCCTCCCTCTTTTCTTGTCTCGTTCTGAGTGCTCTTCACTGTCGGTGTCACTTGCTTGCTCCTCTTAAAGCGCAGACTGTATTGCGACATGATCGCTGATGTCAGCAGCCAGTGATTGACAGCCAGGCCTTTTAACCTGCAGCCCAGGGGTGGCTGGCGGCTGCGTGGCGGGAATGTGTACACCTGAGATATGATGATACATGGGAACGCATGTGTGTGTGTGCAAGTTCACATCATGTCTATGAAAAGAGTCTAACACCGGAACAATCACTTATCTTTCAGCCAAATTAGACTAACAAAACTTGGCTTATTTTTCTAGCAATGCTCGCAGTCCTCCTCTTTTTGATCGAAACTGTGTTTTATTTAGCCAGCGGTGAGTGTGCGCGTGGTGGCGTGTGTCTCGCCTGGGCCTTGAGCTGTAAAAAGTGGCTGGCCCTCAGGGGAGCCGTAGAGGAGGAGAACAATTTATGGTGAGCAGTAAACCCTCAATTAATCACTTGCCAGCTACTGTGGCCCTGTGCAAAGAGAGGTGGGAATGAATTTTCATTCTCTGCTATTTGTCTCTTGGAGTTCATCGCTTATGTTTATTAGTCATCTTTTTATGCCTCATCCTGGGGGCTCCCTCTGTTGAGTGAGTGTGTGTGTGTGTATCTCTGGTGGGTGATGCAACATACCAACTCCAAAGCCACCAAGCTGGGGGACAGATGGTGTAGTTACACTCACTCAAAAACACACACAACAGTAAAACACACACACGCACACGCACGCACACACGCACACTCACGCTCAGAGGACAGAGGAACCGCCCCTCAGGGACATGTGTGTTGGGGCATGAGAGGGTCAGGGGAGTCTAAGGACCACTGCTGATTTCCTCTGGGAGGCTGGCGATTATTACACACACACAGACACACACATGCGCAGAACAAAACCAGACAGACTTCCACACATACCAAAAGATGAACACACACACACACACACACGCGCACACACACGCACGCGCATGCACGCACACACACACACACACACACACACACACACAC